CATTCTACACTAGATGGTGATACACTCTATAGGGTATGGTTAGGGGAGCATGCAAATTATAAGAGGCTCCTGATTTTCGGGTGTACCACCTACTATCACGTCAATGAGGGAAAGCTTGATGCAAGGGCCAAGAAGGTAATTTTCTTGGGGTATGCAAAGGGTGTAAAAGGCTATTGCCTTTAGTGTACGGAAGATTCAAAGTTCGTGATCAGCAGGGATATTACCTTTGATGAGAAATCCATGATTGCTAAGGTGCCCAAGGATGATGGGGTTGGGGCTGTTGGGACTTCAAAATCTCAGGTTATTGAAATAGAACCTAAAGACCAACCAGGTTCTAGTCATGTTCAAGTGGGAAATCAGATAGATGATGAGCTTGAGCAGGAGGAGGTTCAGAAGCACTACAACAACAGCAGCTCGAGAATAGTTTGGCTTCCACTAAGCCAAGGCGAGCATACAAGCAGGTACCGAAGCTGGGGGCTGATCAACCCCTAAAGCACTATGGACATGTTAATTTGGTGGAATACGCACTCTCGGTGGAGGAAAATGAGCTGGTCTCCTTTAAGGAAGCTATTCAAAAGAAGTATAGTGAGAATTTGTTGGCTGCGATAGAGGAGGAGATATTTTCTCTTCACAAGAACCAAACATGGGAGGTGGTCCCATTGCCCATAGGAAGAAAAGCTATTAGTTGTAAGTGGGTGTATAAAAGAAAGAAAGATCCTTCAGAGCTCGGTGGTACAAAGTACAAGGCGAGGTTAGTGGCTAAAGGGTTTGTACAAAGAGAGATGTGGATTACAATGAGATATTTTCTCCAGTGGTGAAACACACTTCTATTCGAGTGCTATTGAGTATTGTTACTCATGATGATCTTGAGCTGGAACAACTTAATGTTAAAACAGCCTTCTTGCACGGAGACTTGGATGAAGAGATCTACATGTATTAACCTGAGGGCTACAAGGTTAAGGATAAGGAGTATCATGTATGTCGCTTAAGGAAGTTACTCTATGGACTGAAGCAATCTCCTCGATAGTGGTACAAGTGATTTGACTCCTTCATGCTAAAGCATGGGTTTTTCCGAAGCGATTACAATTGTTGTGTTTACATTCAGAAACTTCATTGAGGTGATTATATCTATCTCCTTTTGTATGTGGATGATATGCTTATTGCTTCGAAGAGCAGGGTAGAGATAGATAGGCTAAAATCTCAACTTGATAAAGAGTTCAAGATGAAGAACATGGGCGCTGCTAGGAAAATACAGGGTATAGAGATTAGAAGAGAGCATGCGAATCAGCGATTGTTCTTGAGTCAGAAGGGCTACATAGAGCGGGTGATCGCGAGGTTCGGGATGCAAAGTTTAAAGTTGGTGGCGACTCCATTGGCTCCACACTTTAGGATTTTAGGTAAACAATCTCCCACTACAACGGAAGATAAGACACACATGGAGCGTGTTCCTTATGCTAGTGTAGTTGGCAGTTTAATGTACGCCATGGTGTGTACACGTCCAAATATTTCACAGGCGGTTAGTGTGGTCAGTAGGTTCATGGCGAATCCGGGAAAGACGCACTGAGAAGCGGTGAAATAGGTCCTGAGATACTTGAAAGGTACCGCGGATATGGGTCTGTGTTTTAGTGGAGATACATGTTAGATTGATGGGTTTGTTAACTCTGATTATGCGGGCGATCTAGTTAGACGACGATCTACTACTGGTTATGTATTCAGGATACATGGAGCTCCAATTAGTTGGAGATCGATGTTACAAACTACAGTGATACTTTCTACTACAGAGGCCGAGTACATGGCCATGACGGAGGGAGTGAAGGAAGCATTGTGGTTGTGGGGTCTTCTAGACGATTTGGGGATTGAGCAGGAGAACGTGAACTTATGGTGCGACAGTCAGAGTGTAATTCACTTGGCGAAGAATCAAGTTCATCATGCTCGTACCAAGTATATCTGTATGTTGGAAAAATTGCAATGAAGAGAATAAAAAAAAATTGACTTGTATTTCTTCAATCTCTGTTACAATTTGATTACAAAAGAGAAGAGAACGAATTTGGTTCTCTCCTTTGTTTAAAATTGGGTTCTTCAAGGTAGCGATAGAGTGCCTCCTTCGATTGTTCGCATCGAATTTGCTCTCCATTGACGATCCGACATCTTGATTCACTGGAACGATGTCTCCTCCTCACGATTTGACGTTGTGGAGAACTTGTGTGGCAAGTTTTAGAACTCTGGACGAGTTGATAACTCTAAATGAGTTTAAACTCTTGAAAAAGAGTTGATTTGAACTGAAAGTTCGATTGATAAGCCAAGGATGAAGAAGCTCTTGTTGCAGATCTCCCAAGCTCCAGAAAATGCTCCAAGGATCTCTTCTGCTGCCAAGTCCCAGATCCAAAAAATGCCAGCCAAAAAAGCCTTGAACTCCGGACCAAAGAAGCCAACCTCGAACTCAGTTGAGTTTACTCGCTTTTATAGGGGATTAAGGGGGTGTAACCGCCCCTTAAATCACTCCTATTAAGGGGGTGTAACCGCCCCTTAAATCACTCCTAAGTGGGGTGTAACCGCCCACAAATCATGGGAACCAGTTTTGGAACCGTTCAGCTCATGTTTGAATGAGTCAAACGCCCACGTTGGCGTTCAGGACCCTAACTCCGTATTTTAGACTGGAGACGCGGAGTTGGGTACCCGCTGGGCATTGAAAAACACGGGTCTGGCCCCAGCGTTTTAATGTTGTAACGCGGGTCCGACTCCAGCGTTTTGATGTTGTAACGCGAGTCCGACTCCAGCGTTTTGATGTTGTAACGTGGGTTCGACCCTCGCGTTTTACTGTTGACACACGGGGAGGACCTCCGCGTTTTGGTGTTGATACACGGGGAGGACCTCCGTGTTTTGGTCTTAGAGCGCGGTGATGAGTTCCGCGTCTTGCTTTGGAGAGATTATCAACAACGGGGAGGACCTCCGCGTCTTGCCTTGCAGAGATTATCACCAAGTAATCTCTTTTTGTCATAGCGTTGCAAAGATCATTGTCTTGTAATCTTCGTCTTGGCTCCTTGAGAATATGAGAGGCGTCAGATTGTAACTCCCGATGTTGATTGTGAATGCTGTTGAACTAGAGCTCTCATCGGTTGTCGTGAAGGTCGTCAGATTGTAACCTTCAGCGATCTACGTGAAAATCTTCAAATTGTAGCCTTCTGGAAGTCGTCAGATTGTAACTTTTATCATCGGCGTTTGATGGGGGATAAGCTATCTATTGTGATTTTTAGACAGCCTACAATATCGATGTCAGGTATCATTTCGTGCGGGATGTCATAGAGGAATGTGATATTTCTCTCAGGAAGGTGCACACGAATGAGAATCCCGCAGACATGTTAACCAAGGTGGTCACAGGTAGCAAGTTTAAGCATTGCTTGGACTTGCTTTATATCAGCCCGTGTTGATTTGCCCGAGAGGGCATGGCCCTGCGGGACAGTGATGGGGTGAGGTGGAGACTATATGGAGAACAAAACCTGAACTACAGTTAGCTTGATCCTAGTGGAGGGTACGTATGCAGCCGCGGTAAAGTGGCGTAGCTGGTTTGGCTTGGTTTGGCCTAGTTCGGTGTTCAGATCTCTCTAGTGAAGTTCGCAGAGTTCTTCTGGTGTTCGTCCAAAATTTGAGGTTTATTAAATGATGTACGAGGTGGAGAATTGTGAACGTAGTGTGAACATGACTTCAGCATGGGGGCCACACACCTGTTCACTCGGTAAATCAAAGCATGTGACAGGCGAACCGTGGGGGACACATCACGAAGCCGCTGCCTATCCATGAACGCGAACGCAGAAACGAATTGTTTACGTGGGCAGGGGCCACATCCATTCAAGCGGATATCAACCAGATCCGATTTTTTGGATTTGTCGCTTCTATATAAACCTGATGCTATCTAGGGTTTTGAGCGCTAGGGGAAAATAGGAAAACACAGAGGTGAAGAAAAATACGGTGGGTGTTTTTCGGCTGCAGGTGAAGAAAAACAGAGAGAAAAAAAGAGGGATTTTATAAAAGAGAGGTTAATTTCTTTTGGGTAAAAATCAGATCTTTTTTCTTTGAGACGAGCTTGTGGATTGTACAAGTCGTCGGTGTTCTTCTCATAGTGGAATCTCCCCTCACCCCTCCCGTGGACGTAGGTAATTTTTCCGAACCACGTAAATCTCGTGTATTTACTGTTTTCTGGGTGGTTGCTATTGTTTGTAGGTTCCCTCAAGAATTCAGTCCTAGAACTGATGAGAGGAAGAGTGTATATTTTACTTTGTTGAGATATTTTACTTTCTATTCTTGTTTCATTTGAGAAACGGGAATATAGAGGTTGGCTTGTGCTTTTGTGACAACAAAAGCCAGAGCTATTTCTCAGGTGATATCGCTTCCGCGACGTGAGGGCATGACTCTGCGTCCAACACTAAATCTCCAGTCATATTATAAATTATTTACTCGAGATTGAAAGAGACTCTACGTTATTTGATTGTTAATCTCTACATTAATAAATCTCCTGTAGAGCAAATGATCACCAGACTCCCTCACTGACGATCTATGGCTTCGTCTTTGAGATTTCTGCATCCCCTGTGACGAAACTACCCATTTTATAGAGTTATTTCTGTTCACAAAGAAACCTTTCAACGAACCCGCACCAAACGGGAATCGACCAATTGAACTGGAAACAACGAAGGTACATTAATCAACTGATCACGCATGACGCACCCAAGCCAAAAAAACAGTCAGTGCTCCACTTGCAGTGTGTGTGCATGTGAGCCTGCGGTAGCGCTCAAGATGAAACCAAAGCGCTTGAATAGTCGCAGTTGCGGCGCTGGGTGTAGTCCCCAGAGAAGTCTGTATATACTTCAACATTAACAAATCTTTTCCGAGCAAAAGCCATAGATCTGAGTTTGAAGCTAGGAATTTGCTAAAAGAACTCTGCACCCCCTTCAGCGCATGGGTTAGCATTGCTAATGTTTTCTGGATCCATGTTGATCAAGGTTAGTATATAGCACTACTGAATGGTACTTATCCATGCATAAATATGTGGTCCAGGCAAAGAATATATTTTTCCCTCAAATCTTATATCTGTGTTGGTTACTTTTAAGGAGGCACTGTGACATTCCTAAATAAAATCTGAAATAAATACAGTTAAATGCAGATAGACCCCTAATAATTGTCACTCCGCGGTTCTAATTGTGTAGATATTAGACCCTCTGAGTGAATTTTTTACTCTTAAAAGAGTCAAAACAAAATTTATAACGGCGAATAGACTTCTTTTTTTTAACTTCTTAAAAAAGTCAGAAAATTAATTTCACCAAGGGGTCTGTCCGCAATTAATTTTCTGGATTATGTTAATTATTAAGTAGTTGGAATAAATCATACCCGTCCTAGATATTAATGTACAACTATGATTCAAGAAGTTGTCTCTTCCAACCGCCGGACTTATTCACAACGCACATATCTAATGCTAAATATTGTAACCTCAACAAAAGAACCAGGGACTTTGTAGTCAGCAAAAATATGATTACGCTTAGTTGTTAGATTACCTACAGCATCAAGCAAATCCCTAATCATCATTAGAAAGCTACTCTGTCTGTACATGTCTTCTATAAATGACAAAAGGCAAATAATATTTGTAACATCAGCCTGCACTCAAAACCCTAGAATCTCTCAGATCATATTTGTGAGTCATTTGGTAGACATTTCGATGGAAGGAGGAGAATCTAGATTGGCTTCACATTGTTATGTTCTTGAGATCCCTCCGGTATCAAATCTGACAAATTTGCAGCAAGAAGAGAGCCTTCAGGGTTTGATCCAGGGTCCTAATTGTAACCCTAATTTCAAGCCTTGGTCCAATGAAGAGGTATATATTAGCACAGTACTGTTATTTTAAGGTGATTATTTCTCCTTTTATTTGGATTTTGATATGTTTGGTTCATATGATCATCAGTTGGAGACCTCAGATCCCAAAGATGTTAGCAACTCATGGTATGTTTCTCTTCCTAGATCTTTCTATTTCTTTCTCTCTCTAGCTAGATTTAACAAGTTATCTATTTTCTAAATTCCACTTAAATTAGTGGCTAGTGGAATTTGAACCGGGATTTTTCTCTTACACCATGTTAAAAATGTCTTCACTACCGCATCAAAACTCCGAAGTTTTGGTGAGGGTTGAGCTATAATTTGATATTCTAACATCAATTAATGTATCCCAATTTCTTGATTATGATCCTAGGTGGAAGAGATCGAGCTTGGGTGTTGAGAAGGGGAAGATGAGGATGAGGAGGAAGATGAGAGAGCCAAGATTTTGCTTTCAAACGAGGAGTGATGTGGATGTGTTGGATGATGGGTACAAGTGGAGGAAATATGGGCAGAAAACTGTAAAGAACAGCCTTCACCCCAGGTATTTCATGTTGCTTTTCAAGTTCTTCCTTTAAACCCTAAAAATATGTAGAATAAAAAAGAAAAAAAAAATGGATGCACCATAATTCGTTTGCTGAAAAAAAAATAATGATCTGTTGAAATCATTGCAAATTAGATATTTCCTTGTTAAATCTTTTTCCCCCTCATTTTTTTCATTGATCATTATAGGAAGGACGATATTATTTGTGACAGAGTCACCACCAAATGCAAGTTTGGTCATTCCTTCATGATGATTCAAAGCATTGTTCACTGTAGTATTTTTGTTTGTTCCCCTCATACAATATTCTTTGCAGGATTTTCCATTTGAGAGATATATAGCATCTCAGTAGAGTTTGAACTGTACACAATTGCTATAGAATCATTACGTCTTGAACCATATATACGTTTCACTATTTTGAATCAATTATACAGTTACTAAAAAAACTCTTAAGAACTTCAATTGTATTGTTAGTTTTTAGTTTCAGAATGTTAGGATTGTTGTTTGTCACTTATATGTAAGTCTAGAGAAAGAAAGAGGGCCTTCTTCTTGTACTCAGATTGGAGCTTCCTACATTTTGCTATGATTTTTGGTATTTGGCAAGATGATAGAGAACAAAATGAAAATGTACATATTCTTAAATGTGCGTAAAAATATATGTGCGACCAATTACAGAGAATATTTGTATATTATCAATCTGTTATAGTTTTTTCTTAGAAACAGGAGGCAATATATATGGGTTAAGCTTCATGTAGAAGAGTTCCATGAAACATTATTCAATTTGAGGATTATAGGTACTACTTAACCTCACACTAAGTCTCAAAGAAATTTGAGTTAGTGATAGTTTTGATTCGTCGTCATT